CAGATTTCTCTGGACATGGTAAGGAAAGATTACTTTTAAAGGAGCTAGAGTAGGATGCACTGGCTAACTTGAACTCCACACCTTGCAAAATACTGCTAATTTTCTCACTTTGCAGCAATACAAAGTGCCAAAACTACCTTTGACACTGAAAATATTGAAACCATGCTATTTCTCAACAAATGCTAAGTTTTCCAAGGACATTTTGCCAATGCATCCAAACTATTTTAAAAATTTATGGAGCGATTTGCAAAGTGGATACTATAGATATGATTTTGATAAATGAAAGGTCTTATTGTATATGGTAAATTAGAGTAAGAGTAGCTCAAACTTCTTATACATTTGTGAATTTGATACTGAATTTGTGAGTTTGATAGCATACCTTTAATATGTGTGCCTATGCCTTGCTACTTTCCATTATGGAAATTCATAGCACTCGTACAACGAAGAGACATTGCCTTATGGCTACATAAAGCTATGGGGTGAAATTAGAAATAAAAGAGATTTTTTCAAATGCTTCTATGAAAACAAGGTTTATGATTAAATGGTAGTTTACACTTTCCTCTCCAATGACAAGGGGTTAGATCAATACCTTTCTTCATGACATTCCTAAACTGAGATTTTGCTATTATTTTCTCAGTTCTTTAAAGCAACCTTTTTCACTCAGTAGCACTTAGAGTCATGTATGACAGCTGGAAGGAAACAAACAATGAAGAGCTTCTACACCTATCCCTAAGGTACCATCATAACTCTGTATATCCATAGAGATAAAAATTATGTAGTACCTGGCAAACAAAATTATAGTTCTGAAATATAGATGATAAGCAAGCATAAACTGTGTGACATTTCAGATGGTAGCATTCATATTATTTCAATTACTCACTCTACCTTAAGATAAATGAATGTGAGCACTTCCTATTCTGTGTGTTATTATTTTAACATGATGTTTGTCATTCAGTAATAACGAGATGACAGCCTTCATTGCCTGACCATATGGCAAGTGTTACAACTATATGCAATCACATCATCTGCTGTAAATTACCATACTTCCTACAAGTTAATTCACAAATAAAAAATAAATAGACATACCTGAACTGACATTCAAAGCTATAGATTTGTGTTTATTCAATTTAAGCATGCTTTTAAAGATTTATAAGTAATTAAACAAATAGTTTTGCAAAATGACAAACAAAAGGCATGATACTGTTTGAAGGATGCCTTTTCTTTGCAGCAAACAAAACATATGGCAAAATACAAGTGAGCCCTCTTAAGTGAACACCTGTTAACATACTAAACTACTTGTGTATATTACAAATATCAATACAAATAGCAACTAGTTAAGAACATCTTGTTAGTGTATGAGGCAAAGCATGCAGAATGTTGAGCAGTAAAGACAAAATACTTATCACATTTGCTAAGCTAAGGAACACTACATGCATACAGTCTATCTTGTGAGAAGAGTGATAGACCCACATATGTAGAAAATATTTGCATATGCAACATCATGCTAAAATTTAAATACAACAAAAGGTGAATTTATCACTATTATAAATCAATTCCATTCTGTAGCAAGAGCTCTATGGAGATTAACAGCTGATATCATGCAAAGTTAAATGCTCAACTAAAGAAATTAAGGTTCCTGAACTTAAGTGGCAAAATGCTAAGCATATGTTGCTTCCAATTTAGATAATTTGTTAGTTTTTAACATTATACCTCTAAACATTCTTTTAATTTTCTCTGACGTTAACCATGTTTATCTTACATGATACACTCACACCTACTTCCCCAGAATTAATTTCTGACACAATTCTGAAAATTCTTATTTTTCAATCAGGAAAGGAAATAATGCCTTAAATTTATGACTACTGACATACATACATACATATATATGTGTGTGTATATATATATATATATACATACATGTATACACACACATATATTCACATATATATATATGTTTCCTATATTAAAATCTAGATCTGTTTGCTGGGGTTTGTATCTTACCTTCTGTAACATCTGATGTGAAACCTCTCTCATATTCCTCTTTGGAGTGTTATTCTTGACCTCAGCATCTTCACTAACTTTAAAATGTGTGTCTATCAGAAGAAAAATAATACATCACTATCATAGAATAAATAAAATACATTGTGACACCTAGTATTTCACTAAAACAATCCCTAGAGACATTTTAAGGAAATGCATTCTTTACCTCTGCAATTATTTATAATATGGTCTATTTTCTTGACTAGCCTTTTGGTCAGTTTCTAAAGAGTGACCTCTCTTCAAAGTGTCCTGTCATGTAATTATGAATCTCTGTAGCATCACAGTATGTTTTTTTTCAGAGTACAAGCTTTTCAAAGGTACAATAGATCTGCAGGTTAAAGACGCTGTACTTTCATTCCAATTTTTATTCTTTTATAGACTATTCCCTCTATGCCTTAAAAGCAGAATTCATTGCCTTTTTATCTACACAGTCACTACCAGTTTTGTTCTCTAGGTCTTGTCCCCTGCTAGGAGGATCAGAGTGATTGGTGAACAAAGCAAACAGGAACTGTATTAGGATGGATGAAAACTTTAAACCCTGGTTTTTGTTAAGCTAAAGATCATGCACTTCACCAGATAAATCACACAAATCATTCCACTGAAATACTGTGAAATCATAACAATTAGAGATTGATACACCTAATAAGACTGGACATGAATCCAAGCATCGCTCTCAGAGACAGCTATACACTTTAGGTTCCAAAAATACCAAGTTAAAAATTAATTTATTCCCAGAGAAGAATGTTGAGAAAATGTTTAGAAGTACTAACGCATATGGTCAACCATAAGCAAACCACATTCCATCTAGATTTTAATCATGAGTTTAGCATTCACAAATTGCCCACTGCTCACAGAAATGAGCAATTACACACCTCAGAAGGACTTCATCTTAGAATATGAAATATTAAATTGAAGGAAAAATAAATCCTAACATTCTAAGAACACAATATTTGTATTTATTTTCTTGTCCTTCTTTGCCTCGAATTAAATTAAAGAATTAATCTTGAGGGATAAATATCTGTGGTACATGGTGGAGATCTGCTTTAGAAGTATCATTTCAAACTATAAGCAGACACTGTAGGTCACTTAAAAACTTTTGATTTATAAACAAAGCAAGAGTAGAAGAAAACAGTGTTACTCTCTGTAGATTCACAATCCTCTTGATATAAACAGTGACTAACAAGTTTGTTAGAGTGAATTAGACCTTTCTTTTGTCTTTGGAACATGTCATGGCCAATTAATACTTCTGTATTCATGAAATAAATGGAACACTATTCTAAAGATAATAAAAGCTGAAAAAGGTAAAACTATGCATCTGGGGAATATGTACCTTTACCTTGATATTAATATGTTAGTTCCCATGTTATTTCAGACTACAGTCCCCCAGCACAGTGGTACTGCATACATTTAGAACATTCTTTAAGTAACACGCAAAGATAATATGAACATGCTTTTCATCTTTTTCTAAATATTCACTCATTTGAATGTCTGCTGTACCTTTTATATCAGCATTTACTGTACACCACTGCAGAGAAAAATTATTTCCCATAGTCAAAGAAACTGATCAAAGCACACAAGGTGTTATGTTTATTATGCGGATGTATTAAAATGCAATTTAAAACTCTATAAATAAGCATATTATATGCAGATAATAAAGAATTCTACTGCACAATAGATAGAAAACACTGCACATGCTCAGTATTATCACAGAAGACACAAGCAACATAAAGGAAAGGCAAAGGTCACTGATACATAACCCTTTATACTGAGCAGAAAATAAATGGCCCATTCAAACCCCTTCTCCCCTCCTCCCTTCTAATTGTTATGAATTGTTCATAGGTATATGTTAGGGAGGCAATGAAACAGCATCGCATGTAACTAACTGTCTGTCTATGATCGCAGAAAGATACATCATATCAGTCTACTCAGCAAGACATGTGCTCTACCTGTCATACTCCTACATAAAAAAATACCAACTTCTCCCTCAAGGAACAGACCCACAAGTCATACCCCCACTCTCTTCAGTCATCAAATTACCACGGTCTTGCAGAAGCATACTTACATCCCACTGAGAAAACACAGTTAACTGTCAGCTTCAGAATGTAACACTTAATTCCTAATTAATAGTCACCAAATCTGATGATGAGTTAGTTCAACACTGCTGCCAAAATGGCACTCGAACTATGATACTACAGTTCACCACTAGTATCTGCAGAAAGCCTTCTTGAACAAAGAAAAAACTAACAGTTTTGAAAACTAACAGAACTGTGTAATAGTCACTTACAGAGAACCTACATAAACCATCAAAATAATGACATATTTGCCTGGAGTACACACTGGTGAAGGACTTCCCTGACAGAGAGAAGGTGCCATGGTGCACTAAGCCACTGTGTTACTGACTCCAGTGGTAGCCACCAATGCTACTGCGTGGGGAAAAACACCTGGAGGAAAATACCTCTGTGAAGACAAGGGAATGCCATTCCCTTCTGTGAGCTGAGGACACAGTAGATTCAGGAGTCTCTTAGTGAAAGAAGCCTTCACACTGACTCCTTGAAGAAACAGGGGACCAACCTTCTTTTAAGAAGGCAATTGCTATTTTTCTGAATAGGAGTAGACACTATCTCGTATAGCATACTCCTGAAAAAACTGGCAGCCCACAGCTTGGACAGGGGCACTCTCTGCTGGGTTCAGAACTGGCTGGATGGCCCAGAGAGTGGTGGTGAATGTTGCCACATCCAACTGACAGCTGGTGACTAGTGGTGTTCCCCAGGGGTCAGTGCTGGGCCCAGTGCTCTTTAGTATCTTTGTGGATGATTTGGATGAGGGGATTGAGGGCACCATCAGCAAGTTTGAAGACGACACAAAGTTGGGGGGGAGTGTGGATCTGCTGGAAGGCAGGAGGGCTCTGCAGAGGGACCTGAACAGGCTGGAGAAAAGGGCTGACAGGTACCCCATGAAGTTCCATAATTGGAAGTGCAAGGTCCTGCACCTCAGCAGGTACAACCCTAAGGCACCAGCAAAGGCTCGGGGATGCCCAGCTGGGAAGCAGCTTGGCAGAAAAGGACCTGGGGGTCCTCACAGGCACCAAAATAAACATGAGCCAGCAGTGTGCCCTTACTGCAAAGTAGGCTAAGAGTAACCTCAGTGGCATTAGGGGAAAACTTGT